CACTTACTATGGCATATTCATGAGAGAACATAGCCACTAGTGCGGGAATATTAATATTAGAAAAAAAAACAGAATAAAAATAGAGCTTATTATTTGATAGAGTGGATGAAAATGATCAGCAATCGCTCCCATCTCCATGCCCAACCAACATGGAGTTCGATTTACTCTCTATAATCTCAATCTGCCAAGTTAATTGCTCAGAGAAAATGTATTCGTAGCCGCGTAAAACAGTGCTAATAAACAGTATATAATAAAACTTTAGCCTCTTAATGAAAGTTACCAGTCGCTGGTACAACTAAACAACTATTTACAATATGAATGTCACTTATTTGTAAGTGACCGTCGCCATGATACTCACGACCTGGTACCAAATGCTGCCGGCGGTGCTGATGGGGCCAGTTCAGTCGAGGTAGAAGTTGAAGTCTATTCTGGATGGGATAAAACTTTTGCGAGGCAAAGTTACGGTAGACTCAACGACATCGGATTGTGTGAAAAACGCAACAATCCGTCCGTAACTCAGCCTCGGCAACTAGGGCCGGCAGTTGAGGCCTGACGCGGCAGGCTATTGGCTGACCATTCGGTCTGTTCCCTTTGCTTCAGACCGTCAATCCGTCCTCGTCGGGAGGAACTCAACCGCTCGAATCGCCCGGCAGTTGTCTGCAACACTTCCGGGCGCTGCCGTTCATCGAGTGCAACAACCACGACGGTCACTGCTACCACTGGCAGGACGGCAAGTCGTACTGGATGACTGCGGTGCAGGAGTGGCGACAGTTCGTGAAGCCCGAGGGCGTCGTCTACAAGTCGGAGAACAACGTGATCGAGCGCATCGGCCGCTGCAGCGTGTGCCGCAAAGCGATGGAGTCCACGCTCTTTTAGCCCGACGTCGAGCGGTCGTGGCTCCGAGACCGGTCTGCTGACAGGTCGTGCCGGGTCGTCCGGCCTCCTCGCCTCAACCGGACGAATGTTCACAACAGTCGTCCGAATCCTGCTCTTTGCACGCTCTTCCATCACTTGTTCACTCATTCAACGCAATCGTAGCACTGTTATATTATTTTTTATATTCATCAACTCAATCGCGCCTGACAACATGAGCCACCATGCCAGTAAACAGCCGAAGGGCACACTCGTCGCCGACACTTGACTGGACGATCCAGAATGCCGCCGATCAGGCTGCGTTGTCCTCCCGTCTGGAGCTGAATTCCAGCACTCTTGTCCAATTCGGCCTCTTACATGGAGCTTCGGACTCCCTTTCGAATCGAAATGATGCTATGAGCCTTTTTTCTTTCAAGAGATTAACAAGTAGACCACATAACACTACTTATTATATTATAGTAGCATGTTATTCTCGCAAACTATATTTTACATAAGTTTATATATATATATATATTTACATATACATATACATATATATATACATGCATACATATATATATATATATATGTGTGTGTGTGTGTATGAATGTATACATGGGTGTGCACATATATGTTTATTTCTACAAATATTTTCATGATTTCTTGACATCGAACGGGATTTACTCACTTTGATAATGGATTTATCCGAGATAGTTGGATTAGATGAAATTAGCCCTCAACTGTTTCCAACTTAACCGACTGTTGAATTGATCCTCATTTAGCTGATCCACAATAGACTCGACAATTCACACGAGTGGTACATTCTCAAAGGACAAGCTCACCATGAAGTTTCCCTGAAGCTATACATTGAAAAAGGTGGCCTGCTAGAATTCCACTATTCATGCCCAATCTTGCGATCTAGCTGCAGCAACTCATGATTTGCTTGGCTACTTAAGGCTTAACTTAAAAGGCATACCGAATAGGGGAGAGGCCAATGTACGAAATCAAAGGTACAATCACATGATTCTTTCAAGGGAGCCTGCAAAACATGCTTTCTCAGCAGCATTTTCGCCTCGTGACAGACAGTTAGACCGCAGTTATGCTGATGTAAACGCATGTGTTTGTGTGTTTATTAGAGCTTGCGTCATGTTAGAAGTGTTCATGGAATGAGGAGTCTCGTATCTTTGGTTACTTCCATGTTTATTCCGAATCAGGGCAAAATTCAAATATCCTATGCATGTTTCGAAGTTATGAGTTATTCTTGAATAAGAACCATAATCACTCTAGACCGTTCGAGGCGATTGGAGAATTGACAGTCAAGTTTATCCCTCGAATACATGTCTGTGGGATAATTCACAACAAATGTGATTTTAGGAAGGCCTGATTTACCTTGAACCTCCCACCCGTCCTGTGACCCACTTGTATCCGTGGGTGTTTATCGGGACGGCATGACCCGGTTTTATATCCCACTTGAGGTTGTTATGAGATGAGGCGAGTTCGAAACTGCAGTCCAATCGGAAAGATAAGTCCTTGTGTAAAGCAAAGCTACGTGAAATTAACTGTCGTCCAGACGTCCAATCATATTACTGTTCTAGCAGTCCTTGAACCACATGCGGTTCTCACTTCAGAATGCATAGGCTTTGTGGTGAATCGACCAATTTTACGTGACGAAAGACCGGTTTTCACAGAATCACATGGAAGTGGAGCTTTCATTTTGTATGAAAAGTGGAGTGGAAAATATTAGTAAATTAATCGAAGGTATGAATACCAAGATGGTGTGACCTTTTGATTGGTCACCGTCTCCTTTCGTTGTATAGAGGTTGTGTGACCTTGTTTTCGCAACTTGGTCATGTTGGTAGGAAGACTTAGAGAAACGCACCTATTCCAGAGTCCATTGTATGTATAATCATTATCAAAGTCGAAATTTGGATGTGGTACATTTCCAGACGTTTCGTCGGCATCGTCAGTGAGTCTCGCCATTCGTAGCACCATACAACAACTCGGCAAAGAGACAAGTGAAGCCCATCCTTTGACCAAACGTGTGCTAAACAATTGTGGTATCTCACCTTCCCATATCCTCCTATCACACCTTCACTGTTACAATTTTTACCATGCCTATTTCGATGCAGTGGGGTGTGATCCTTTAAGCGGCATTCATGAAAACCTTTCACACTCCCCTTCATCCTTGTGCTGGGAATGTTGATCATAGTCTGCCATATTGTTACGCAGTCCTGCTTCCATAGGTCTTATCGCAGTCTCTCTTGTGTGCCAACCCACATGAACCAGAGAGATAGCAGACTGATCTTACGGGGCAAGAGGGAGACTGTGATAAGACGTAGTGAAGGAGGACTGAGTAACAATATGGCAGATTGTGATCAACATTCCCAGCACAAGGGTGAAGGGGGGGTGAGAACGCCAACGTGGAGTGTGGAGGGTTCACACCACACTAGATCGAAATAAGCACGCTAAAACAAATTGTAACGGTGTGATAGGAGGATATAGGAAATGTGAATAGGCCAAAGCAGAAGGGGAGATAGCACGACTGTTTAGCACACGTTTGGTCAAAGGATCGGCTTCATTTGTCTCTTTGACGAGTTGTTGTGTGGCGCTAGGACTGGCCGGGCGAAACGTCTGGGAATCTACTACGTCCACTGTCCGACTCTGTAAATGATGATTCATACAATGGACTCCGAACTAGGTGTGTTCCTCTAGGTCCTACTACCAACATGACCAAGTTGCGTAAACAAGGCCAAACAACTTCTATTCGTAAAAAATAACTTCAAGAAGACCAAGTTAAGTTTATTTTTCGAATTAAGTATTGTTTTTCGTGACTACTATCGAGTCCCGCTGAGGGTGTTGACAAGACCAATGCCAGGTCGAAACTGCAGTCCACCCTGGACGAGAACAACTTTTGGGAATGAAAAGCTATGTTAATGTTCAATG